ATTATCCCTGCTCAAATTGCCGCTGTACATTCCTGCTCTTTCTAATTAAACACAGGACTTTATTCATTACATGTGCAGCGTTTTGAAGTGTTATTTTGAGTGCGCTATGAGAATCAGGGATGTATGTAAAAAAAGCCAGGCCAGCGTGTGACCGTGTTGACTCTACGCAGCTCTGTGAAACCGCAGTGACCCGGGGACGGCGGCTCCAAAGGCACATGTCATCTGTGAGCGGTGCGCGGTGGGATGAGCGAGCGTGTGGGAGAGATACGGCGCACTGTCATGTGGTGCTGCGGATGGGAGAAAAAAGATAGAGCTGTAAATCACACGTGTTTTCAAAGTTTCCCATGGTAAACATTGCAGTGCATTTATAAAAAAGTAGGGAAAGTGGTTCAAAATATCTTCAAAAGCGATATTTGAGGAAAGCGGCCTGGAACCTAAACCTTTACTTTTGTAGAAGTGAACCTTAAAGCTTGGGTATCTAACTTTCCACCCACAAAAATGATGACTATGCGTATTAGAATTCATCTAACTAGTTCCTACAGTTTTCTCTCATCACTAGTTTTCACATTGTATTTTTGGCTTATGTCACAGCTTTAGATAAGCTTTTACAAACAGACAATTTAAAAAAACAACGACCTACACTCTATGCCCAAACCGTCAAATAGTGACTCACTGGGCTCTTTCTTATAAGTATGCTAAAGATCAAATGTTTTATAGATTAAGTGAAAAAAGTTAACTACTCAAGCTTTAAAGGTAATGAGATCAGACTAACTAAAGTTTTCCACATTTCTTTGATGGCTTCATTGTCTATAATCTTATTTTTATTATACTAATGGACAAATCAATATAAAGTAATATTTTCTAAAAAGCCTTTGGGTCTCTCCAGATACCTTAACCAAACGTATTGATGGTTTGATGGATAGGTAGTTAGCTTTCTAAATGCCGTTCAATATTACAAACAGGCGTATTGATTTCCATTCTATAAATGTTGGATCATGTACAGAGAACTGTCGTTGTGTCCTTAGGCAAGACACTAAACCCACATGAGTCTGGTGTGTGTGTGTGTGTGAATGGTTGGTGGTGGTCGGAGGGGCCGATGGCACATACTGGTTGCCTCGCTTCTGTCAGTGTGCCCCAGGGCAGCTGTGGCTATAGTAGTCGTTTATCACCACCGTGTATGGAGTGAAAGAATAATGACATGTGAAGCGTCTTTGAGTGTCCAAAAAAGCGCTACATAAAACAAATGCATTTTTAATTATTAATATTATAAGTAGGGAGGTCGTAGGGAAACACAGAGTCACTCAAACATGCAGCACTCAATAATAAAAGCAAAGGACATTTTTAGATGATGTCCAGACAAACATCAACACAAGAAATACATTTTAACTCATATTTTGGAGCTTGTGTCCATAATGTTATTATTTTGCCTCATATGTTTTGCTGCAATGGATGAAGCGGAAGAAAATGGATGGATGGATGGATGTTTTGCTGTGTTCATCTATATTGAAAACAAGCTGGGATAATACCAGCAGTAGTTATAGGTCACACATGTGGAGAGTCCACTCTCAATTGTGGATTTGTGACCCAGTGGCTTTATGATTGGTCAGCACGGTGCCTTTACATCCCATCACAGTGGTTTCTAGGATGCTACAGGATAAATTGTTTGGAAATCTTTCTCTGATGACAAACCCCTACACCAAAAAAACCTACACAACAATTAACCCTAGAGAATTATCAACAAAACCATGATCAAAAGTTAAGGTACCATCCTGTTCCCTTCTAAAATTTGCAAATTTATCAACTTGCATAATTCCCCTTTAATACTATACACACTTAAGTCCTACAAGCAAAGACATGGAGGAGGCGACCCCCACCAGAAAGGCTTAAGCTTTCTGATTATGTCAACTACTGAAATGCATAATACAATTCCAAACAAGCACAATGTCATAGAAAACACTGGCAATTAACTGCTTGCAAAGAAGACTAAATACTGATACTTTGATGTTTTTCTTCCCCGTTGTCCTCCAGACACACTAAGCTCACTGTTACTGTCTGATCATGTGGAGTGGCACCAGCGTGGGGCTCTTTCTCTGCGTCCACAAAGTGTTTAAGAGCGACCAGAATGACAGACAGCCCTGAAAGCACCACCTCAGCGCTGTCCTGAGTATTAATAGACATGTCTTTGTTCGGGGCGACACGGTTGTGAAGTGGAATGAGACAAGTTGGAGTGATAAGGATCTCTCCTCTCTGTGTGAGTCAAAACCTCAAAGTGGCTGAAAGCGGCTCAGGCTTTCCTCTGTAGTGAGAAGTGTGGCGGCGCGATGGGACTCACACGCAAACCGACCCGGGCCTCTCCAGCTCTCTGTCTTAAATGACTGACTCATGACTGTGATCATGTAGTTTACTGTTACTTTATATACAGTCTTTATTCTGTCGGTGCACACAGAGTACCTCTTTTTGCAAATGTATTCCAATGTAGTTTTTATACTGCACATGGCCAATAAATGAATCTGAATCTGAATCTGATTAACAAAGACAGAGCTATAATGTGCTCTGTGTATTTACCAACGTTGAAGCAAGACTGATCCCTGCTATGATTAAAATACCTTACCTTTCCTCCTGTCTGCTACCTGCTTGTCTGTAAGATGGTCCTGGATTTGAATCCCGGTTGGTACAGGTTTTTTTTTAGTAGAATGTTCTCCCCGTGTCTGCGTTGGTTTCCTCCAGGTGCTCCGGTTTCCCCTACCGGCAAAAACATGTCAATTAGGTAAAATCCTCCAGCTGCGGTAGTCCTGACCAAGCCGAGCATCAACATCTGGAGATGGGTTTTCAAGGTGCTGCACTACGGTGACCACTGCTCTTGACCAAGGCCATTGTGGCATTTGCAGGAAGGGTTAAATGCGAAGGAGAAAGATAGATTAGATAAATCATTGTGAACAGGCTTGCTTCTCCGCTCATCTGGTCAGTAACTTGCCCTGGTTTCACCTTCAGGTTTACCGTATAGAGTAAATGACTACCTTCTGTGTACTTACATGCCATAATATCTTAATCACAACAATATAGTGACAATTTAATGAGTGCAACTTAATTTGCACTCATATTGTTTGTCCACTTATACGAATATTTGCTTAGACCCCTGGTAACAGCATTGGATGTAGCAGTTTGCAGAAACCTAAGTGGAGTCTCTTTGTGAGGCAGTTTCAGCCGTTACAGGCAAATACTACAGCTTGTTCTACCATTCCAATGTTGTAATATTTTAGTTTTTAATTGGGAACTGCTGTGGCAATGGTTCTATGTGTTATGTTTATGGAACCCATGGATATCTCCACTGTGAGAATGAACAGGTGTAATCATCATGTGTCATAAACACTAATGAATGCACTTTGATTTAGTCCTTCCTGTTTGTTATGCCTGATGCAATGTGTGCTGCTCTGGTTCTCCTCAGTGTCACTTTTTCGGGATGTCCTGACAGCCAAAGCGGGTGGAGGGGGGGGGGGGGGGATTACTTGTTGCTGGGAAAACGTGATAATGGACAGACAAAAGGGGATAAGCGCAGCACAGGGGTCATTAAGAGGACATCATCTCTCTGCCCGGCTCTAAACGCCAGAAAAGTATTGGGCTAATCTGCCATCATTACTCTGATTAAATCACCAGGGATTTGCCGTTCCCATCAGCTGCAATCAATGAGCTGAAATCAATAGACAGTGGTACCGTGAGAGCCATGGGCCGATCGAAAGGGCTAACACTTCTGCAATAAAAGTGAATGACACAGATTAGGGGATTGTGAAATCAAATGCCGTGGTTCCTCTAATGTATTTTCCTTCGCACATGTGTGTTTTAATCTAATCCCCTCCATGGGCTGGATGTGGCCTGCCTGAGGTCCTCATCCACATGCTCTTACGAGTGTGTTTCCAGACACGTTTAATGTACTGTTAATCACTGCACCAGGGAGCTTTAAGGTGAAAGCTCTTTGAGGAAATGATATTGTGAAAAGATCTTTCAAATCCCGCTATGGAAAAAGTATGTATATATATGGATGGGTTTTAAAGTTGGTGAAAGATGAGGGCCGCTGCTGTGATCGTCAATTCAAAACAGAATATTGTATCTTTAGGATGGCTAAAAAGACCTCAAAAAATTGCATGAGACAGAAAGTGGAAAGACTTCAATGACCTGAACCAGAGGTACTTTAGAAAATGATGTAATATTTATTATGTTGAAATATATTCCCAAGCCTGGATGAACTGTGGTTGTGGTATGACATTGGAATGTAGGTTGAATCAAAAAAAGTAGATCTTGAATTTGGAGAATATGCAGTCGGGAACTGAGGAGGAAATATGGTCAAATATTTGGTTAGAATAAAATGAATACCGAATTAAACATCTCAACTCTTTACGCATGCATTATGGTTGAAACATAAAAGGAAAAACACATGTAAGTCTTCAAATTAAAATGTGAAGTATCGGGTGTCGCTAGATATTTTTTGTTCAAAGCCCTGAGGAATTCAAGTCCACTGTATAGCCCTAAATCACAACAGTAGTTAGGGTTAGACGTCTTTTTGACAGATGTCCTCAAATGTCTCAAGTCTTCACTGTCCTTAGACTTTCCTGAATTGACATGGAACATCTCCCAGTGGGAAAAAGTAAAAAACATTGGAGAGGCCCACATAGAGAAGGATCCACTCCTACAAATCGACAGGCTATAGATCCCATACCAGGACTCAGGCTGTACAGTAGGTTGGGCACTGGAGAGGCTCCCAGGCAGGGAGGGGGGGGTTGCAGTCAGGGCAGGGCACTCAGCTCCAGATTTTGGGAACAGAAATCATGGGGAAAAGCAGTTTTATTTTCCCCACAAATGCAAAATGAGTTGTGATTAACATTAAAATATACTTTCTCTGAAGCTAAACAACAACATGCAATAAAGTATAGAAAAGTAATGAAATCTGTATCACTGCGGCGTAATCCTTTGAGTCTGAGCTGTAGTTTGACTTGTGTCGTTCACAGAATGAGGCAGTGCAGAGGCTGGAGCTGGGTGCTGCTGCTGCTCGTGGCTCTGGGGGCTTTGGGACAGAAACTCCCCACGAGGGACGAGGGCCTGTTCCAGACGCAGATCCGAGACAAGTCACTGTTCCACGACTCGTCTGTGATCCCGGACGGCGCCGAGATCAGCGGGTACCTGTTCAGAGACACGCCCAAAAGGTAACTTTCTGATACTTCTGCATGCGCCTTCCCTCCAAGTATTCACACAATGCTCAAATATAAAGTATTGTGATTTTTGTCCTTTAGCCAATGTTTTAGCAAGCACTTTCTCATCTAGAGCTCTGTATGTATTCCATAAAGTTTGTATGACCCTCCCCTGTCGTGTCTTTCGGGAAATGCACAGTTAAATTGTACTTTTTTTTTTTTCAATTGTATAAATGTTAAATCCTCCAAAATACGCTGGTAATGATTGCATGTTTACCCCTTGTTGGAAAACACCACTGTAACAGAATCAACACAATCATTCCTTATTGATTGCACATTTTATTTGATTTATGTTTATGAAATAGCAAATTAAGTTGAAATGTTGTGTAACTACAGCTAAAACAGCATGGTTTACAAAAGTCCCAAGTGTGAATAAATATTGAATATTGAGCCAGAAAGGACATTATAACCCATTGCCAAATACACAAAGCAGCTGAGGACAGATGATTGGCTCAGTTCAACCTTTTGGAGAAACTGAAAAGCAAATAATATAAAAGAAAGTAGATGAAATGCAGACACAAGGAGTCAAGGTAAAGGCAACACATTCCTTACTCGCAGCACTTTATGGTTATTTAATCCGAGCTCAAGGATGCTGATAAACTTGCTGATCGGCAGTTACTGTAAAAACAGCGATGTAACACGAGCCGCGCGTTGATGCAGAAAGCTGAATAATTGATGAGAAGGTACTGTAGTCGTGGTAACATAGTGTCTGTCCGCCCCAAGCCAAGGTCAGCAGTCGCACTCCCTTAACAACCCGTGGAGCCATTTCGCTAATAGTCTTTAGCATTAAACATTGATGAACTGTATTGTGGTTGTTTTTATGAAGGTACTATTTTGTGGTGGAGGAGGACAACACGCCCCTGTCTGTCACCGTGACTCCATGTGATGCGCCGCTGGAGTGGAGGCTGGTGCTACAAGAGCTGCCGGAGGAGGCCAGCGGAGAGGCCTCAGGTAAATCAACAATCGCAACATAAACATATTGTCAACAAAATGAACTCCTCTCTTCACCTGGTCATTAGCCTGCTTCCAGTCTTTACATGTACTGTCTTAGTAAACCAAAAGGTGTAGAAGAAACTGCATTCTTCATACTAGGGGTGTTCAATATTTTAGTAAGAGGGCTACTTTAGTTCACAAGACTGGCTGTTCTGGCCTTTAAAATGGGCCATGATGCGTCCGTATTGATTCACACTACAGCTATACATTAGCACCGTATATGGGATTTTGTGACACAATCAAAAACAAATCTTTATAATTCATTTGCTACGTCATTTTGAAACGCCAAACATATCTCAATGCCATAAAAAATTGATTCACTCCTTCCTGAGCATTTATTTTAATTAACTACAGATAACAAAACATCGCACGTGGAATATTGAAACTAGAGGAATACGACTTTTTGACAAATCAAAACAGAGATATCCGTGTTTGCAAATGAACTCGTCATATAGAAATAAAGTTGACGACTGGATTCCAAAGGTTTCTAGCTTTTACAATGTCTATATTGATGGAGCTGAAGTTGGTTGGGTGACGCAAAGTATCTCAATGGCTACTTTTGGTTAGCAAGGCCACATGTATTGGCACAGCGGGCCAGTTTGGACATGGCATATTATTCTCTGGAAATTAGTTGCGATTGGGCTAACATGATGATTGATTACCATGACAACAAAACCTACTCTAGCTAAAATATTTTAAAAAACAGATTTTTGTATATATATATTTTTTGCATACATTTATTTGTATTTACATTTTAAGAAGTGTCATATTGTTGCTGTATTGTGCATTGAAATACTGATATCTGAGACAAATTGGGGTGCTCTTATTTGAAAACTTGATCAGTGTTCTGAAACTTGTTCAAATTGCTTCATAAACATAACCTTGTGATTAATTAGTATATCAAAATTCATGTGTAAATACTACATTTGTTAACTGCTCCTTACTAAACTAGAACTGGCTATGTTTGATCTCGATTTCAGACCGTAAGAATTCGATCTAAACTGTCCCAAAGCCGTACTAGCAGAAGCACGCGCTCCACATTTTGAGGAGCAGTTGTGTAATGACACGTTTGGAGCATGTATCCACTGCCCCCACACACGCTCAGTTAACCCAGAGTGATGTTAGGCCCAGCGTTTCCATAGGTTTTAATTAAGTCAGTCGTGGTGTCTGGTCTAACCTCTTATGAAGTCTGCCCAAGCCGTCCTCATGCCTATAATTTAGAAAAGAGCTTTAGTCTGCGAATCAAAGCATTGCTCCCTCTACTTAAGCTCTTTGTCTTCTCCAGGTAAATCTAGTAGTAATTCTCAACTTCCTTTATTCTTGCTTCATGTTTTTTGGACTTGATCTCCTTCTTTTTCCCTACACATCAAAAGATGGAAAACATCTTCTCCATGCGACTTGTGTGCTTTCATCTCTCTGTGGATTCCTAAAGCCTAACACTGAGGTTACAACATAAGAGCGCTTATATTTAAATGTGAATATGGGAACACCTGTGTCACTCTCTCCACTCCTGTCAGATCAAATATAACAGATAATTTATTGGTCCGTTCACACCTCAAAGGAAACATGCAAGGTTTGTAGATAACCTGCAGGCCTGGCATTAAGAGTTGAGTGAAACCCTTTCCTTTTGAGCTCTGTGTGGATGTGTGTGTCTACAGGGAGCAGATCTTGAGGCTTTAATTTTCAGTACGCCACAGAGCACACTCGCCGGTTGACAAACATAATATTATGACTTCTTTCCGAGGCCGGTGTAAGCAGAAACTGTCTCTCGTACGGAGCAGGCACAAGGCGTCTCTGTGCTGCTTCAGTGTGAATACAGGCCTGTGATCATTGGGGATGTTTGCACTGAAAACATTGGTGCCATGTGAAGGGCTAATCGTCCATAGGCTTACGGAGCTTCACCCTGACCTTCACCGTCAACACATTAGCCACTTAACGTGTCGACACTCCAGACAATATGCGTAGGTTTCCAAAAACATTGAAATCACAGGCATCGGATTGCAGACTGTTTAAAAAAAAAACATTTCAAATCCTTTCAGTGTAGGTTTTGAACCATTTACACGGGTACAACAAATAAAACATGGCCAAATAACTCAACCAAAGATACACCATATAGTATTGCACTTCTGAAACTGTTTTCTCTTCTTTAATACATATCATTCCACTCTTCTCCTTGTTGGTTTAACTATTGTCCTCCAGGAAACAGTTTACCTTTTTCACTAATCTTACAAGTGGTGGTTATGCCAAGGAATGGGACTATATCAAATACATCAGGGGTGTCAAACCAGCCAAAATAATAAAATAATATAATAATAACTCACCAAAATATGACCTGGTTGGGGCCAGAAGCACAAAAGTGGAAAAAAAGTTGGTTTTGCATATTTCTAAATTAAAGGTATTTGACATGAGTTTGAATATTATTTTAGGAAACATACAGTTACATGGTTGTGTAACATGCCACAGGAGTCCATTACCATCAATGCTGCAAATACTTGAGATAAAGATACTTGATAATAATTTCAGAGGTCACTAAAAATTGTCTTTCGGTCAGAAAACTCAGGCTCAATGGCCATTGAGCCTGAGTTTGACTTACTTGCAACATTATAGTACAAGGCAATGGAAGCTATTGACATCATTGTTAATATGAATCCTGCAAAGTGGCCTTCAGTCAGACCGGTCATAAGATCCGGTGTAGATTAAATATGTTTAGTTTTTTGATCCCAACCTCACTTTGTTGCTTTGTTGTCTGTTTTAGGTGAGCCCGAGCCGTTGGACCAGCAGAAGCAGCAGGTAACCGTGGACGAGGGAACAGAACTCTTCACCTACAAAGGGAACGATGTGGAGTCCTACGTGGCGACCAGCACCCCTTCTGGCCTGTACCAATTCGAGATCCTGTCCACGGAGAAGGACAGCAACTTCAAAGTGTACGCCACCACCACCCCTGAATCTGACCAACCCTATCCCGAGCTCCCTTACGACCCCCGTGTGGATGTCACCGCGCTGGGACGCACCACTCTGACCTTGGCCTGGAAACCCACCCCCACCGGCTTTCTCATGGGCCAACCTGTCCAATACTGCGTCGTCATTAACAAGGAGCATAACTTCAAAAGCATGTGCGCAGCTGAAGCTAAAATTAGCTCCGATGATACGTTTATGCTAGCTCCCAAACCAGGAAGAGACTTTAGCCCGTTTGACTTTGCGCATTTCGGCTTCCCTTCAAATGGATTTGGGAAAGACAGAGGACTGACGAGTAACAAAATCTCCCGGGCCTATACAGTCAAGCCCAAACAATCTGACATCCAAAAATTGTGTATTGGAAACAAGAACATTTTCACAATTTCTGACCTAAAGCCAGATACGCAGTACTATTTTGACGTCTTTGCTGTCAACTCTGCTACCAATACGAGCACAGCGTACGTGGGTACTTTTGCCAGGACCAAAGAAGAAGCCCGGCAGAAGACGGTCGAATTGAAAGACGGCAAAGTTACAGATGTTTTTATCAAAAGAAAAGCGAGCAAGTTCCTTCGTTTTGCCCCAATGTCATCTCACCAAAGGGTCACTCTGTTTGTCCACGCATGTCTAGACACGGTACAAGTTCAAGTGCGGCGCGACGGGAAGCTTTTGCTGTCCCAAAACGTGGAAGGCGTGCGACAGTTTCAGCTCAGAGGCAAGCCGAAAGGGAAATACCTGATCAGGCTTCGAGGCAGCAGGAAAGGGGCATCCACTCTTAAAGTCCTGGCCACGACAAAACCAAGCAGCAAGCAACCTTTCCCCTCTCTGCCAGAAGACACGAGAATCAAGGCGTTTGACAAGCTGCGCACCTGCTCTTCCGCTACCGTTGCATGGCTCGGCACGCAGGACCGGAACAAATACTGCATCTATCGCAAGGAGGTAGCCGAAAATTACGGCGAGGAACAGAGAAAGAGGGAGCAGAACCAGTGCGCGGGACCAGAAACGCGAAGGAAGTCTGAAAAAGTCCTGTGCAAGTACTTCCACAGTCCGAACTTGCAGAAGGCGGTCACCACGGAGACCATTACTGGACTAGAACCGGGCAAGACATACCTGCTGGACGTTTACGTGGTGGCACACAGCGGCCACTCGGTCAAATATCAAAGCAAACTGGTGAAAACACGGAAGTACTGCTAAATTGACTCTGCAAAGATAAATCTATTATAAATAAATATATATATTAAATAAGTTTATTTAACTCGAAGTGATATTCTACTAAGGAGTGTATACAGACTTGACTACTCACACAGTTGATGGGCCTGTGGCAGCGACTATTTGTGTATATTTATGTTTACAATGGAACAGTGGCGTCGTCGGTCTGACGTGTCCCATACAGAGACGCTATGTGTGACCAGACCTGTTGTAATGACCACCTCCTTGCCACAGGGGACTTCACAACGGAGATCATTTTTCATCAACGTGTTTCTTTGTTTGCTGCATGGCATTCGCTTTTGTCCGTCATACCTGAAGGGAGATACAGTAGCTACCTGCATTGTACAGACCTCGCAACACGTTTTCATCTTTTTAGGTGGAATTTAAATTATTTTATACTTTTTATTTTTGTCAGTTTGTAATGAACGATAACTGTTTTGCAATGCGTTTTTTTTTCTTTGGAGACATTCCCCCAATAGTATCTCAGCGCCCACTTGTAAATGTAAATTGTGCTGGAGATGTTATTATATCGCTGTGTGTGAGTGAGTGCGTGCGTATGCGTGTGTCACATGTACAGAGGTGTCCTGCCAATACTCATGTACATAAACACTAAATATAGAACAAGTAATCCCTGTGTCACTTTGGGTGTCATGTTCTTTTAACCTTACCAAGATGGCTGCTAGCGAAAAGAGCGCTCGGCTTAGCATTGTGTTTATGGGTTTAGACACCGAAATAAGAGTTGCATAAGCGAAACTCAAAACTCGCTCTTGAACTTGATCTTTGAAATGGTCATTAGTCTATGGTTAGTGCTACATTTTAAATAAACAGTGTTATTCTTTGTCATTGGGTACATGCGGAGCTGGTTTTGAAGCCTAAACAAGGACAAATCAATGCATCTGCTTTAAGAGGGAGGCTATCTTATCTGGTATTAGAAGTACATTTACCTCTTACTCTGACTAAAAGCCCATATGTTTCTTCTCAATTGGTTTAACATGAAGGGGCACTATAATGCGTTTGGTATGTTTCCTGGTGTATTTTCCTGTGATCGAATACAAAGAAATAGACAGGTCATTGCATTGGCATCTTGTTCTGATGTGCAGATACAAAGATATATTATTTTATACATTTATGTTCAGCTTGTGCATATATGCATTGCTCTAGTCACGTGTGTCCATATTAAAGTAGTAATGCTGTATAAAATGGAACAATAAAATTATCAAAAATATTTCTATCATACTTAACTTTCTTTAGCCAAACATTTGCGTTTTGGAGCTTTTGTTTGTTGACTGTCACCTGCTTGTCTTGTGCCAAGATTATGTTTTCCACAAGCCAAAGAAGCAAGTTATCGGTCACATATGTGGTGAAGCAACTCCTCATTGACTGCATATTTTTTCATATATTTTTTACAGAAAAATACATGCAAAAATTGTTGAACATTTGAGTCATGCAACACACCCATATACACATACTCTCACACTAAGGTTAAGGTACACTTCACTTTTATCCCTGTAGTCTTGTGTATTTGACCCATCCTACATTGCAACGAGGGCTGGTCTGGAGGTCTGGAGCAGTAGTCATCGTCGAACAGTGTCCGGAGACCCATGATTCTCGGCTTGGTTAGATCTACCAGAGCTGGAGGATTTTTCCCACTGTAACTGTTTTAATGGTAAAGGAAACCAGAGCACCCAGGAGAACAGACAAACTCCACTCAAAAAAGTTGTATTCCGGGATTCGAACCCAGGACCTTCTTGCTGAGTGCTAACCAGAAATATTTTTTACATCTCAATGTGTCATGTTGAGTAGTTCTTCCAAATTTTCCTGATTTAATCCTGGTATCTAATACTTGTACTGTACAGTCCAAATGTTATGTGAACTCATCCATTTTGCCAAGTCAAACAAATGACAAACACATGCATTAAATCATTTATAAAATAAGTTTCCAAACGTAAAGTAGTTATTTTTTGACATCCAGCATTATGCCACTTTTTAAATTGATTTTGGTAATATAAGTTTTATTTTTCTTATGGTTAAAATCATGACAACTTTTCACCTCAATATTTTTCAGAATCTCTTCAGAATATCAGGGATTTTGCTCGATGGGTGGTTTGGACTCTTTAGTACCGTTAAGCCCAGTTAACCACATGCAGAAGACAGAATCCAGACCTATGGCATATGCACACACACATGCCATTTAAGAGCAGTCTCAGGTGAATGGGAATGTTCATTCTGTTGTGGCCAAGGAAAGCAGCTTTTGAATGGTTGCGTTTCAATCGTGACCCGGATTTTGGGAAGCACCAAAACTCACTGTCAATCAACTGGGATATACAAGGAGGGCCCACCTGGTTTGGATTAACCTGCTGTTGCCCTGAAATAATACGGTGGAGCTTCCAGGAGAGTCACGGATATGCCTGTAAACCGTCACCAATAAACCCAAATGTTACGACCCCATTCTGAAAAAAGACACTGTGTAAAATCCAGAGGTCTGCAAATCTCATGAACAGATAGTATTCATCCCGAGAATATTAGTTTAACCGTACCTATATTTTTTTAAATTAAAGTTGGACAAGTGAACAAATTAAATTATAACTCTGAATTCCATGCGGCTTCAGAAAGTTTGAATGATTTGTAGGTTTGGCACAATTTTCATCATCTAAAGCATGTAAACAGACCTCAACCTATTGCACCGAAGCTATGGACAATGACTCACTAATCTGCATCACATCTGCACTGTTCTATATTATGAAATGATAATTTTACTTTAATGATCATTTGAACATTTAGCATAATTCAACCTAGACATCAAGAAAAGTCCCATGACCAGGAACAAGCTGAAGTTCACATACACTATGTATATACTGTAAAGATCACACAGAATTCCTTCTATTCGCAAAACCCTAGACTAAATTTCATATTTAGCACAAGATAGTATCACAGATAGACAGTCTGGTCTACTATATTTATATAGTAGGCTTCACAAAACAGATTCGCTTCTTTATGAAGCAGCAGACCTTTGCGAACATATTTAACATATTTTTCAATATAAAATAGGAAAATTAGATGTTACCAAAGTCAACGTTACAGGTGGATGAAGAGGTCCTCCTCAAGTGAAGGAGTTCAAGTAACACCGGGTCTTGTTCATGAGTGAGGGAAGGACAGAGCGTGACATTGACAGAGAGATTGGTGCAGCGTGTGCAGTGAGCTGTCACTGTAACAGACTGTTGGAGTGAAGACGGAGCTGAATCTTTGGTTAATGACTAAAAGGATGTGGTTGCTGATACAAATGGTCAAAATTAGTTTGTCCCTTAGAGGGTGAGTAGCTCACAGCTCGGGGTAGGAGCCAGGTTAGGACGTTAGTTTCCGATGCCTCCTCGACTCCTCCCTGGGGAGATGTTCCGGGCATATCCCACCAGGAGAAGGCCCTGCTGGAGGGACTGATGTATGTCTCACACTTGGCCTGGGAATCCCTTGGAATTACCTCAAATGAAGTTTGGGCGCCTCTGCTTAAACTGGATGGAAAGTTGCATTTTTCAGGCTTCATGCCCAGAAGCTGGCTGACAAATATATCCAAAAACACACTGCACAGCACTGGAACTTTGGAATCTTAACGTTTAAAGATAAAATAATTTCCAAAATACAAGAAGACAAATGTAGAGAAAGTTTTTAAAGTGTGTAAATGAGGCCAGCCTTTTTGGAAATCCTCAGGTCCACTCCACTCCCTTCTAAATTCCCATCAACACACTTTTAGCTGCTTCACTCACTAAAACACATGCAAACATCCGTGTACAGAAAAGCCAGTATTCCAGACTAACCATCTGCAGAGCTCTCTATGTTTATCCTGTGCGTGGTAATGAACGTGGGGCTTTGAAGTCTTCATTTTGTATATATATGTGTGTGTGTACGCCGAGTGGAGACAGACGTGTAGTGCGGGTAAGTGCAAGTAATCACAGAAGCGCACGGAAGAGCTGGCTCCAATTCCTGGTTGGGTTGGTCTGACTACTGCCACTAGATTAGACTTGAGCGCTGGATGAGCCTATGGTTATTTGAAACTCAAGATGATGCAAAGGAATGCTGTTTATAACGGCCCAATTTAACCTGTCACATAAGACGAAAGCTAACTCTACTGGTCAGACAAAGTGGTTGAAATTAAAATAGTGCTGTCACTTTGTCATGCTCCACAATGATATGGAAGAATAGCACTCAGCCTACATTCACCATGCTTAGCTATAATCTACTTATGAGAACACAGACTAAACAAAATGTGCATGCACAAGGATCAAACATGTCTATAATACCACTATTATAGGATTTGTGCCCGTTGCCCTTAATGGATGATGGCTACATTTCACAGATAGGAAAGTGAGAAGGGGGAAGGGCGTATGAGGGATCATATATGTAAATCTGCAGCCAGTCTAGAAGGCTTGTGATAACTGCTATTTCTATATCAAGATGGATATATATTCACTCCAAAACATAATGGTCAGGTGTGACCATTATGATGGAATGCATTGCCAACAAAGGAATGGCCACTATTGTCGTGTGGTGAAGTGAAGGAAGGAAAATGCAGGGATGTCAAAAATATAAAGGTAAATGTGCACTTTTTCCCTGAGCAGAAGTCGCCATAGCACCTGGGAACCCATCTGCAGATGTTGATGCTCGGCTGGGTCAGGACTACCGGAGCTGGAAGATTTAACCTAGTGTGCATGTTTTTAGTGGTAAGGGAAACCGGAGTACCCAGAGGAAGCACAGGGAGACCCCGTTCCGACTGGGATTTGAACCTAGGACCTTCTTGCTGAAAGGCGAGAGTGCAATCCACCAAACCACCGTGTCACCTGTACCATAATGATTTAATGTTGATATTAAATAAAAGTCCAGGGTAAAAACAAACGCAAAAACTCCCCACGGGCTCCGTTAGCCGCAAAGCAGATGGCTTGGCTAAATGCTAACGACTCACTCGGGCGAATTACATATGTCACAATAAACTCAGA